TATCAGTGACTCCATGGTTCTGGTTTTGTATCAGTGACTCCATGGTTCTGGTTTTGTATCAGTGACTCCATGGTTCTGGTTTTGTATCAGAACTTGTTTGTCTTGATGCAGAAAATACCTTCGACATCATATATACGAGCATTACCAGGTGCTTTTATATTTGCTTTTCCTTGAAGTTTCTTGATACTTTATGGTTTACAGCACTACGAAATTATTCACTTTAAATGACTGCTAAGAGCTTTATGCAAGCGTTTAAGAATGTACAATCTTCGACACCCTATTCAAAAAAAATATGTTTATTATTGGACGGAATTCAGAGGAGGATTAATAGCTAGGAAGAGTTATTTATATGTGGATAAGTTAATATATAAGGTAAAGGGGATATTTATTTAAGATATTGCATGTGTATCTTTTCCTTGAATATCACAATTCCTTTCTCTTTATTTTAATATGAAAAATTTGTTGAAGTGCGTGTAGGCAGTCAACTCAAATTAGTGTCGGTACAGTGATCAGTTAGATGTCAACTTTGATACGTTGATTAATACTGTAATCGGATATTTTATTACTTTGAACGTGAGATTTTATACAGGTTTAAAAAGCCTCATTTTTATTGGTTACAAACCCAGAATAATAAAAATATATTTTACTGTCACAGCTTTTAATAAATGAACATAGACGTAGATATAAATCGATTTAACCACTGAGGAGCTTCTAACATTTGGTACTTAAAATTATGGGTTTGTCCTTGGAATTGCAACCCTTTGTCATTAACGTGATTGTACATTGTTGCAATTTATTATTATTAATATTCAAATAAATAATGTATAACAATAGGAATAAACTGAATAGGTCCATTCTGTTTCAAATGTATTGATTTTCTGTTGTTATTTGCCTAGTTACACTTCCCTTACCACTTAATTTTGATATTGCTAAGACATAGAGTTGTAATCTAGTGGTAATGAACTCCAAGAAAATCTTTTGTAGCTTTCGTCCTCTGACTGCCATCTTGGATCATAAACTAATAAGCCAATTAGTAGAAGGTTGAAGACGAGTAGTCATTAAGGCTGTGGAAATTTGGAACAAATCGCAATCTTCATATCATTATTATTCAATATGGCGACATACTGATTGTTAACATGTTGGAAAACATGACAATTGTTTTCCTTTGAAAACTTTTGATGATTTTTATATGCACTGGTAAATAGCGAACTGTAATCTCAGGTACACGTGTCCTCAACAGGGTGTCCGAAAAATCCGGAACTATAGATGACTTGCAGCTTTCTTAATTTCATATACGTGACTGATTATGGCGTTGTCAAAGCATGAGAAGGTCGACTTAATCCTGTCGTTAATCCAAAGTTATTTCGAATTACAAGGACAGCAGATGGAACATATTTGATAAAATTTGTTAAAGTGCCTATGGTTCCAGACTTTTCGGACACCCTGTATAACTAAATTTGTGGCACAATTATTAAAACTCAAATTTACAACTGTAACAGTATATACTTTAAATTTCATACATTTTAAAGCTAATAAAGGAAATATAATCAAAATATTTTTAACAAATTACGAAATACTCTTTTTTGTTTAATTTTTGTAAGAGTTGTGAAAACTGTGGCTCTAATTAAGAAACAAAACTTAGAAGAACTTTAGGGAATACTAAGTATATTTATACTACGTAACATAAACTTTCATCAAATAAAACTTGTTCTATTTATAAAACTTAAAATTGTTTTCAACTCGATCTATTCTTCAACAATGGTTCTTGTTATATGCTAAATGTAAAGTTTTGAGAAAAACAAACTCATCACAACTTATTTATTTTGACCAGTATTGCTTTCATGGAAAATATATATACTTATTTAATAGCAATCAAGAAAACATCTAGAAATATACATAACAATCGCATCTGTTATGGACAATTAACGGTAAAGTCATCAAGTAATATACCTTAAATAGTAAAATACACGATTAAACGGTAAAGTCATCATGTAACATATCTTAAGTTAGTAAAATACACGATTAAACGGTAAAGTCATCATGTAACATATCTTAAGTTAGTAAAATACATGATTAAACGGTAAAGTAATCATGTAACATATCTTAAGTTAGTAAAATACATGATTAAACGGTAAAGTCACCAAGTAATATACCATAAATTAATAAAATACTCGATTAAAACAAGAACTGGTTTTTTTTTCAATATACAAGTTAAAGTAGACTGTATCATGAGAGAAATATGTCCTATAATAAGTTGTATAATAATAATTAGGTTTAGTATGAAGATATTTTCAGGAAAATATTTTTTTTTGTTTTCGTTCGAGCCATGACAAAAATTGAAAAAATAAACATTTCAAATTGTTCGTGTCAAAAGTTGAATTGTATAACTTGCTAGAATAATATTTTTAAAAATATCCCAATAAATACTAGCTAATGATTTTTGTAATTTAATTATTCCAGTTTAATTGTTGTGCCTTTATTAATTTTTAACATAAAACGGATACCCTTGCAATTATTTGTAACTGATTGGCTAGTGTTGGGCTATTGACATCCACCCATAAAGAGCGTTTAGACATTTAGGGTACAGATTACAAAATGTACTTTAATTTTCTTTACATGTTTCTAAGCTGTGACTAGGTTGAAGCACAGAACAATCAGTTTTAACTAAATTTTTCAATACTGGCCTAACTTTATGTCTTATAGCACTCACAGAGTCGAACTTATAAAGAATATATCTGAAAATTTTAAACGCTTATCAAGTAATGTTTATTTAGATATAAATTGCAAGATAAATAAAAAAGAAATAAAAAATAATATTCGACCATACACTTATATGAAAAACACATTTAAGTCTCAGGTTTATAGGTTTTTCGGCGTTTGCAATATACAACAGTCAAAATGAAAATAAGGATGATGGCTATTAGAGAAGCAACACCGATACCAATTATATAAGGTAACCAGTTAATTTTCTCTGCTGCTTTCACCATGAAAATAGGAGAAGATGCAAACTCCAGTTTTCCAAAATGCCCGCTAGCTATGTTAGAAACATTTCCTTTGTTATTGTTGTCGTCGATTATTCGAAGAGCAAAGTAGACATCTATATGTTCTGCTGAATTGTTCGAGTTTTTCTGCCAAACTGTGTTAGGCACTTCAACTGATAATACTTGCATTTCACCAGGAGGCGCTGGAGTAAAATTACCATCGACTACTGAAGTCTTGTTAAAAGATTCCAATGCAGTAAAACGCTCCAGTAAATCTTCTGCGATGACACTCGCTCTTAGATCGATAGAGGTTGCTGTAACATATTTCGATATATTGAAAAAACGAACCTTATCCAAAAATTCAACTTAAGTCAAATATCTAGGTTTCACTTCTGTGATTGTTTTTACTTGCACTTAGAAACGCACAAAACTCAATCATCATTCTTGCAAAATGGGAAAACAGGTTTTAAATATTTTCTAGGCAAACCTTGACACATATGGCGACTTAATCGTTATGATTTCAGAGTTCTTGAGAATTTTTGACATTTACTCTTAATCTTGTTTTGATTGGACTAAAAACTTAAATTCCTGGGCGAAACAATAAACGCTGCTTGGTTTTTAATAATAAAAAAATATTTCAGTGTCATTCTCAATAATTGTTTCTCGCTGCATTCTTATGATTTCAAGGGTTGGCCACTTTTTTAGTAATAGATGTAATTAATTTAATGTAAGTTTATAACCTAAAAGACACGTAATTTAGAACGTTTATTGATGTATTTTTTATACATTATTTTGCTGTACTGTCTAATTGAAAACTGTTCTTAGACATGAAAATCAATGCTAATTAAATCACTACTTTCGTCTGTAAAATGTAATTTAGCTTAGGAAATAGTGGTATGTAGTGTTGACTAGTTGCCTTCCCTTCAAAAGTAGAGTTAAGCTCACGTAGCCCTTATGTAATTTACTCGCGAAAATTTTCAAACCAAACAAACTACGTATTATGAAAAGTAAGTTACCTTTGGACTCATACTGTGTTCTAATGTATTGATAAACTTTTATGTTGTTACCCAAATACTTGTGCTACGTAATGTCTACATGCTTATATCGAGCTATGTTCGAGAACGAGTGATGTACAAGTAATATAAAGTTAAAGATCTTTACAAGGGTTTACTCTTATTGAAGGAATGTTGAGCTTTAAAAACACTTGGGTTCTCGTTTAATTCTAATTTGAAGTCTTCTACTTTTTTACTGTCATGAATATTAAAGAAAACATATTTGAAATTTAAAAAAAACGACACACACACACACACACACATATATATACGTAAAGACAAAATAAGTATTCTATTTCAAACTTGAGATGAAAGTAGAACATATAGAATATTGGATAAGAATGTAAATATTTAAAAGACCAAATAACATAGTGTTTAGAATTTATATTTTTATAACACGTGTGTTTAGAAGCTATATATTTAAGTTTGAAACACTAGTGACATAGGATTGAAGACAAAATGTTTATAAGAATATTTCTAATGATAATAGTACAGGAAACAACGAGCACACACACCCAATCCCATAGTCTCAAATTATCACTATATTGTTCCGTTACTGATAAAAGTTTTAATTTAGTTAAATAAGTTATATGCAGTTTGTACTTTATTGCTTATGATATAATAAGTTATTTTACTTAGGAGATTATGTGATAGATAGATAATATATATCTAGTATGCTTCATTTATTTGCATGTACTAAACTAGGCTGAGCATATGTCATATGATTACTTGAGTTTTAACAATGCAGTGACACAGTCATATCATTGTTATTTTGCAGGAATGTTGTTATCAAAAACGTTTCTTTGACTGGTTCTTGAAGGAACTTTACCTCCAACGGTAGCATCAAAAGCAAACGTTACTGGTTCGTTTGTCGTTATGCACAAAGCTACACAGTGCACTATTTGTGCTGTGCTCATTACTAGTATCGAAACTAGATTTTTAGCCTTATAAGCCCGCAGACTTACCGTTGTGTCACTGTGGGGCAAATGTTACTTTACTAGTAAAAATGTAATATTTTCAATCGCTGGTAAGTGACCGTGGAAAAGGAAAAGACAATTGGACAGGCTTGCATCAGACTGTGTCTCAAGAATCAGATTTTTTTCAGAGTTCAAGATTGAATTATCTTAAAGTTTATGGTTACTTAGGTTGAATCTCGGTGTTGTTTCTGGTCATGTCCGTTCAATGTTGCTGCACTTTTGTCCTCTGATGGGCAACAGTTCTTCCAAAGCGATAAACCCACAATCCATCACGCTATATAGCCTACAGCTGGTTCTAAAATATTGCACAGTAATGATTTCCGCCCCCCGTCTAATCACCAGACCCCAATCCGATTAAATGTTTTTGGGAGGAAATGAAATGTTGGATTTGCAACAACACTCTTTCAATAACATCTGTGGATCATTTGCAGATCCTAATCCTCAACTAATCCATTTTAATTGTCCAAGACATCTTCTGACGTCTTTCGAAGAGTATGGTATGCTGAGGTTAGAATATTAAGTTGACAAAAGTTGCTTAAACTCAACGTTGAATGGGAATCATAATAAAATGCTATTCAGAACACACACACACACACAACAAAATATACCATAATCTACTAAACAAGAATCTTGAGAATGTAATGCCAAAAATTAACCTATATACCATCATTGTTGGAATTGAGGTTATGTTTATTTACGTACCTATTTAATAAAGAGAAAACATCACAGATTAAAATACAAGGAACAGTACGATTAACATTCTAACTCTAAGGACTGGATGACCAGTTGGCTTAAACGATGGGGGCCTTATCTACTTCATAAATAGCCTCAACATCTTTAACTAAGTAGAATTTACCAGCTTTCTTTGTTATTGATTGAAGAGAACATCTTTTCATGTAAAATCGTCGATGAGCTTCCCAGTTAGCCTAAATATTTGGATTTTAAATATAAATGACTAGTGCTTCGGAAGTTCGTTTTACTAACTGTGTGCGTCAGGCTTTCTAGTTAGCTCAAACGTTCAGTTAGCTCATGGTGGCTCGCAGTAAGCTTTAGGATTTATAACGCAAAAAAATGGTGTTCGATACCCGCAGTGGGAAGCGTTCAGATATTCCATTGCGTTCCAAAAACAAACAAACATTCAGGTTGTTTATATTATTATTTTACAACTACCGTATTTACAAGACTTTCCTAGGTTCATTGGTTCAATGATAAATGCTTACCAAGTTACAGATAATAGGATTAAGTAAACAGTTATATTTCTTGACCTTCAATCTGTTATTCTATTAATTAAATATAGTTTCTTAACGAGCTCTATCGTTGGGCGGGTTCTTATGGACTATTTGGTAAAAATAATTCGAGATACAGTCCACTACCGCTACTTTTACCTGTAAGCCTAAATTCAAATATAAATGTTGTAAACAGAAACTGCCGTAGGCCTAATTCATTAATAACACTTAACAGGAATGTCATTGATTGATAAAAAATGCTTACTAACTTACTAATTGACTTACAGAAGCACTAACTTTTCATTAATTTTTATTATATACTTAACTGAACTAACAACCTGCTTACTCATTTTTATAGCTAATGTATCCATGTCTAGATATTAGTCGAAGTTTCTCAATCTTAACCTCGTGCGCTCTATAACTACCATCTAAATTAAAACATTGAAAACATAGCTTACAATATTTTCATTTGTTCCGCGTATTGTGATATCAAACAGCTTTATGTACTAGCCCCGAAGAAGCCGCAAAGGCGAAACGTCGGGTAAAATAAAAGTCATCTTATAATTATCTGGAGTGTAAAGATAGTTTTTTCTAGAATCATCTGTCCCGTTTATGTTTTTCGCTAACTTAATCTAGGCTTTCATTTGATATAGCTAAAATATTAGCTTGCATTTGGCCGAATTGTCTATATTCCATATGATAAATATACAAAGCATAGGCGGAACCGGGCAACCGGGGGAGGGCTTGAGGAACATGCCCCAACTTTTGATCCGGTAGCGATGTGCCTCTTTGACTAGGGAATAGAGACATGTATAATTATCAGGGAAAGTTGCTGTTTTAACCTTGAACTCAATGGTTTCGGTTAACATAGCAAATAAGGTACCTCTCAATCGCCGGTGAACCCCCACCCGAAATTCAAATTTATTCCGTCGCTTGTGTGTAAAAGGCACGGGTATGCAAAAACTTTACCAATAGAAACAGTGGACATGCAGATTCAAGGTCTGCCACGCTAACCACTGGGCCACGCTCGGCTCTACTTATATACGACAAAATGCCTAACATTAACCGATTAAAATATTTTAATAGAAAATGTAATCTTGTCTAAATTTTGAACATACAATATAATGCCTTAATTACAGAGTCTAAATTTTATTATGGATAGTACGACAGGTCAGTATAATGTACCAGAATATTTTGTAAGAGGATGACTTACCGTTTCCTACGTCTACGTCATCGCCTGGTGATGTCCATTTGAGGGTTACAAATTTTTTATTGGCTAATTCATTTGAAGAAAGAACTTTTAGATCGAAAACTCTGCTAGGTGGAATTATATCCTCATCGTTGGCTTTGAAATCATCCAGACGGAAAGCACCCGCGTTTGAAACTCGCTCAAATACGTCAGCTGGCTCTCCTTCTGGTTCTGTGGGTTTTTTAGTCTTATTAGTGAGAACAAATTCACTGGTCTGAAAAGTTGATGTAGCATTCTTCTTTTCACGGTCTGTGCAGCAAGATTCAAGAGAAATAAAAAGGTATGAATACTTTTAGCATGTTCACATTTGTTGTATGTATCAAATATCTGTTACTTTTAAAAATAAATACATTTTGTAAATTATAAGTTTTGAGGATTCTGACGATTATAAGTCTTGGACACTCGTTATAAATCAACATTTAAATATAATGGATTTTACCACGGAAACGTTATATGAAACAAGTTCTGTATAATGATTTCAAACATAAGTTAGTTTCTCATTAATATATATTTAATTTTTGATATAAAAATCTGTGAAAATACCTTTCAGATTTTTGAATTTTGTTGCAGCGAGCGCAGCAGAAGCCTTGCTTCCAATTTTGAGTTTGGCATCCCCGTCGTTTAGGACGTTTGCTACGACAGCATACCGTCCATTGCCGTTGAACTGAGTGAAAAACCCAGAGTAAATCCCATCGTTTTCACTGCCATCGGGGCCTATAAAGAGAAATACAAGCCATCACTAGGATTTTGATTAGAGTAACTGTTAGAGATCATGTCCGAACTTATTAGCGAATCCAGCAAGATTCTGGCAGCAGCGTTTACCTAATGAACGTTTGAAGCCAAAACTTCAGTGCAAAGTAAAACATTTTATTTGCTATTCATTTTAAAAATTCACCATCTCAAATTCTTTGCCTAAAATACATATTTCTTGGGGCATAAATGTTTTGTTTTGTTTGGGATATTCGCGCAAAGTCATCCAAGGGTTATCTACGCAACAGTCCCTAATTTTGAACTGATATACTAGACAGAAAACAACTAGTTAATAGCACCCACTACCAACTATTTGGCTTCTCTTGTGTGAGCGAATAATGGGAATTGATCGTTAACCTTATAACCTATCCATGGGGTCATGTCGTGGAGCGCGATTTTTTCTGTTTCTGGTAACGTGACGTGAACTATGGTTCCGCAAGTTTATCGTCTGACCACTGAGCCACGCCCGGTTCAAATTAAAATATTCGTCAACTGTTTAACAAAAAACGTTTTGCTTCACACGTGTGTATAGCACAGACATTGTAAGACTGAACTTTGTAATGAACTGCTCCTACTTTTTCCCCTGGAACTGAAGTTGCTTCGGACTCTATGCAAGGACCTTATTCAGTTCACTCAGTAAAATGTACTTAGACAGGAACAGTTGTAAGACTGAACTTTGTAATGAACTGCTCCTACTTTTTCCACTGGAACTGAAGTTGCTTCGGACTCTATGCAAGGACCTTATTCAGTTCACTCAGTAAAATGTACTTAGACAGGAACAGTCCACAAGAAATGCTATCTATACAATTCAAATCGTTCATTCCTATTTGTGTTAAGACAAGCGGACAGGAGTTTTCCATCACAGGCTATGGTGTTACAATTCATATAATTGTACTTAGACAAATGAAAAGTTAAACGTAAGGTTCCGTTCTCGACCGGTGGAAAAGAAACTGGCCAGTTGATAAGTCAATCATAGCGCATATTGTTCAATACGATCAAATATTACATTATGTTTATTGTAAAGAAATACCAGCGAATATTTAACTATATTTACGATTTGGGCTTTATATACTGTAAAGTTTCTGAAAATGTAAATTTTTTTCTAGGCTATTTTCAACTCTAAATCTTTTCTCTCTTATATCATAACATCAAAGTCAATTACAATTACACTACGTCTTTTCTATCCATGTTCTTCGTAGGTTTTCTTTTAACTTATGCTATTAATGTTATAGAAAATAATTCATTAGATTTAACCAGTAGCGAAAGTATGCCCCCTCAACTACGGGGATCAGACAGTGAAGCTTAGAATTGAATAGATTAGAGGGTGAAGAAGCTGGGCGAATTTGGAGTTCCATGCTCAGATCAAATCGTCATTAAAAAAAGGGAACACAGATATCGTTAGGATTTGACGAGCATGGAACTCAAATCCTAACGATATCTGTGTCCCCTTTTTTTTAATGACGATTTGATCTGAGCAAGGAAGTCAAATCCTAACGGTATCTGTGTCCCCTTTTTGAATGACGATTTTATCTGAGGATGAAATCACATCGTCATTAAAAAAGGGGACACATATTTCGCTAGGATTTGAGTACCATACCCAGATCACATCGTCATTGAAAAAAGGGGGACACAGATATCTTTGTATGGAATAATAATTCAATGCTTACCCAGTAGAACTTATGAAAATCTTTCAAACGACATACAGCATAGCTCTACAATATTATTAATATTTCAAATAATAAACTTAATAGGGAGGGTCAGGGGCTATTTATACCTCTTTTCCCCTCCTGAACTGGTGTTATTTGATTTGTTTTAGTCGGACACTGATATATGCTGAACATCTCATAAATGAGGGTTGTGTATTTATTATGCAAAGGGTAATTACATTACCCTTATTAGGACCATTTCCGTTTATGTGCAACGTTGAGCATTTACATCGGTATACATTTTGCTTGTTCGTTTAGTAATATATTTAGTATGTATTTAACTTAAACTCATCATCATCACAGAGATCCATCATCATCGGAATTTAAGTCTTGTGTAGACTTTGGAGGGTCAGGTGCAGTGTGACTTCTATTTGAACAGAGACTTATAGTCTTTTTTGTCCATAAATGTCCTGTTATCAGGTGAAGACTTTTATTTTCACTTGGTTTTTGATTACATGATTGTGTAGCATTTGGGCTGAAGATCCAGCTAACTGGTTTGAAATTCGCGCAATAAGCTTTAAAGGGAAGTCAGCTAGTTAACATCGCCCATAAACAACTCTTGGACTGTTCTTTTACTAACGAATAGTGTAATTGACCTTCACATTATAACACCACCGTTAACAAGCACATTCGGTAAATGAGATTCGAACCCGCGACCTGCACATTATGAGTCGAGCGCCTTAACCACAAAATCCACAAAATTAAGCAATTAAACTGTTAAAAACAACAATAATTTTTAGTACCAGGGATGAAATTCCGCCGGAACTTATATTTAAGGCGGTACTAGTACTGGGATTTATTTGAGCTTCTTCTTCGGATGCGTGATCGTTTCATTGCTCCTTCAAAAAGCATTTATTGATTGACACTCAAATTGTCGTTTTTATGTTTACACGTAGATTTTTCTTTTCTTTTCAAAAACAGGTCCACTTCACCCAGCTGAGTACCTCTACTTTTTATGATAATTTTAACCCTGTTTAGTATTATTGCCGCTTATAATCACAAAATAGTTTAAGGTAGTTTTGAACATTATAAGGTAATAAAACAATGAAATAGTGTATTTGAAATTCGCCTAAGCATGTTTCTACATTACGGAATTCCTTCAACAGTTTATCATAACTTTAAGAAGACCTTAAATAATAAGTTTCGTTTAGCCACACTTCCACGTACATTCTAAAATAATAATAAAAAGGACAACATGAAATTCTGGACTACGATTACAAACTCCATTGTTGAAAACAAAGAAAGTGTCTTAAATATAATTAATTTCCCCGAAAGGGGGCCGAAGGCCGTCTGTAAGAGTTACCTCTTTTAACCAGTCGCACCAGTATACAGTAGTGTGTTGTCTGTCAGTCAATAGAAACTAAAATGACGTCACATAAGAGAGTCGAACGTTACATTTTATACTGTCGTGACGCCAGTAAAACGTGCGCATGCCATGAATCACAAGAAAAATTATGCCCTCTGTATGCTACAACACAGCATGACTTATGAACTTCAAAAGCAAGAAATAAAAATATTTGTTACTCTTAATTTTGGATTTATTTACTCTTGAAACACAACACTTTCGGAGACCCTGCGGAAGTACATCTAGTTTTAATACCTGCTCCATTGTCTTTCAAAAAAACTTCCACTGGAGGGCCAAGGGGTCTGTCGATCATCGCTTTGACCTTAGCACCAATAACAGCATCGTAACCTTTCTTCACTTCAGCGTATACTTTGGCGTGCGCGGGGTATTTGAGCTGCACATTGCTCAACCAAGATCGTACCCGGACAGGCTGTATTCGAGGATCCTTTGGTTCCGAGATTACAGAAACAGAAACTGCTACGTCAGTGGAACCTGATCGTCGTATTATCGCCGTCCACCTTCCAGTCTGTAAATTATTATTTGTTGATAATCAACGAAGTGTTTTTAATAACAGCTCAACAGATAAGTTTCATAACGTATGAAAAAAAAAGACAACCTTGCTGTTTAATTAAAGTTTATGTTCGATTTATATTTAATGTAATTTATGTCTTTGTCTTTATGAATGGGCGATAGTGTATTTACTTGGTCATGTTTGAAACAGTTCCGTACACATCTCAGAAGTGTAGATAGGATTTGGTATTCGTAATAATCATTCCTCTTGTCAAACTATTGCATTAAATTAAATTATATTTCACCATTTCGTCCAATTAAACCATAATAATAATAAATGGTTAAAGCTTAAGGGCTTGGAAAATAAAAAGAAACAATGTAAAATTACCTGGGTAATAGACTTAGACTTAAAACACTCAGAGGCTAGTCTCAAACATATTTTAAATTAAGTTACATAAAATGTGTTAATAAGAAATGTTTAGAAGTAGAAGTACTCATTAACATGAGCTTAAATACGTAATAATCATGTTGTAGTGTTTATTAAATAACCTTTCAAAATCAACATTTTGTTCTGTTTGTTTTACCTATTCCACAATACAAAACTAATTTAAATAGACAAATGAATAAGCGTGTAAAACATTTTCTTCGAAAAACCATATGGCAATACATATCTTAGATACGGGAAGTTTTATCTCATGGCAGTACCTATCCCATATTCAGAAAGTTTAACCCACGGAAGTACGTACCTCAGATTCAAAAAGTTTTATCTCATGGCAGTACATACCACAGATTCATAAAGTTTAACCCACGGAAATACCTACCTCATATCCAGAAAATTTTGTCTCATGGCAGTACGTACCTCAGATTCAGAAAGTTTTATCGCAATCCTTAATTTGTGCAGTGCGTCTTTTGTGTATTCCGAAGAGCTGGAGTTGAAGACTTGTCCACTTGGGCTCTTTAAAATAATATCTACGTTTTCTATATTTTTACTGGTGAAAGTAAAAACTGTGTTTTTCCCAAGCTCTTTGTCCAGGTCAATTTTCTTGAAAGTGATAGAGCTGTTAAGTTTAATGGTTCCGTCTAAAATCTACGAAAATAAACAGATACGAAAGTTATATTACAACATTGTTTATAATTGTCAAACTAACCTTATGGAAATGAACAGCTATGATTAACTTGTATAGCTGATTAATATACACTGAGTGGTCACAAGTAAATAGACACCTAATTTTTCGTCATTTAACTGATTTATGCTAGCTAATTTGTGTTGACAGAGCACTATAT